CTCCATAAATCCATGAAACAGTGTGGCAACGCTGTTTAACTTCAATTGAAATCAGAGAGAGAGAGAGAGCTAAACGCTGCGCTCTGCCTCACACGAAGGTATATTTATACAAAGTGAGGATTTTCTACGGAGCGCTCCATCAATATAGTTCCATATTTAGTTGCACTACCTAGAGACTTAAAAAGCGTGAAAGAGTCTGGGAAAAAATTAAAAATATACCTTGTCGCTGTTCAGGCTAGAACTAAATGCTATCAGCTGGAAGGTGTGCTATTCTGAAAGCGTTTACAAGTGCGTCACCAACATCCAGGGCCGGTTTTGAGGCAAAGGCCTGGGCGCTAAATTTTAGCGGCGCTAAATTCCCAAGGGTAATTTTTTTTAAATATGTATGCATTAGTAGAGCTCGACAGTGCGGAATGTTTCGTGTATATTTGGGAACTTGGCCAATGTACGTTTGTTTAAAATACTTAGGTACTATTTATTTTAACCATTAATTTACAATTACTCAATTCGAATTCGAATTTTTCATTTCACTGGTATGACATCCTATTTCATGCTTTCTGGTGAGTAAAACAATGGCAACATAGCATGTTATAAAGAAAGTGTGTCCAAAAAAACAATATACTCTCCAGAGTGCGACTGCCATACCTTACTGTCAATATACCATGTGATATGTCGCTCTCCACTTCTCTCTTAACACGCTTCCGCTTCTTCAAACATTCATGCGCTCACGCTCGCGTATGTGTGTGTGTTTAGTATCTTTTACTTTTTAGCAGCAAGCATCGCCAAACGGGCAGGCATTCCGCTTAGTCGCAGTCCAGCAGCAAAGCAAAGCAGCAGCCAACAACAAAACTCGTGTGCGGGAATCTTCTTCCTCTACGAACCTTTTTTTTTTTTACGCCGTCGCGAGAGGAACATCACACCTACGTAAAACGCGCGTAGATCTTGTGCCGTCCCGTGCTCGTTCCCTTTCCCACCCAACTGGAGGAGCAGCTTGGAGCATCCCCTCACCTGTCAAGTGCGTGAACATTGGTTTAAAACAAATGAGGAATTTGAGAGTTGGTGAGAGTGCAAAAGAGGGAAAACGAAAAATTTTTAGAGGGCTTGCCTTGCCATTTCTGCTTGAAAACCATTCGTGCGTGCCAAAGAGGGACAAAACACACACAATCTCTCAAATCTGTTTGATTAAGGGGGTAGTGGGAGTAGGAAATTTTCAGAGAGTGTTCGTCGAGGTAGAAGAAGAAGAAGGTGAAGAGAGTCTTAGTACTTTGGGAGTGTGAAGAGAGTGTCGGGGTTGAGGTTGAGAGAGAGAGAGAGGCACACACGCAAGTGCAAGTGGTCGTTGGATTGGGTGGTGCGTGGTTGGGCGGTGTCCGCGCGGTGCCCCCTCAACATAAGCAGTAACAGTATGCGACGGTGTTGGTTAATTCTAAAACCCAGGAAACAAATTCGAAAATACAAAATTAATTTAAACAGCAACAGAAATTGTACAATTCGAAAGTAATTCGTGCACCAACAGGCTTACAGACACACGGACACAGACTCAGAGGCAGTATTTGTGTAATTGTTGGTTCCCCTCCACACCACAGTGGGATGGATGCGCAAAGTGAGTTCATCGCAAAAAATAATACACACAAAGAGAGGGAGAGGTAGAGAGCGGAATAGCTATACCGAGAGAGCGACACTGCCCCTCCCCCTGGGGCACACAGCTAAACGCAATTAAAATACACTGCCCGCTTGTCCCACTGTGCCAGTGTGTGTGTAAAACAGCGCCTTGTTTGTACATAAATTAGCCGCTGCGCTGTTTATTTTTTATTTATATATTATACAATACACGTATATTATGTGTGTGCTGTGTATATAGTTTGAAATTATAAATGAAATGCCATTCCTCTGCAAACCATCAAACCAACAACAACATGAAAGCAATATAAGCTTCGAAGCTGCACATACCCATTGTTCCTATGGTAATAGCAAACACACATAAACTAAGAGTTTCTTGACTTTGGTTTCAGAACCATAAAAGCTTTTTTAAAAAACCCCGATTTTCATATCGTTAATTTATGGAAATTTATCTGAGGCAAAGATTTTAATTCATTAAAGCGATATTAGATCGATATTTTCTATACCAGCAAACTGACATAAAAATCAGGAATATACCCTACACATTCTCAGCTCTATAAGCTGAGAATCCTTTCATTCCTTTTTTTTATTGAAGAATCTGATCAGAATCATAATACCCTCTGTCCTGCCAAGGGGCATTAAGGGCTAAAAATTATCGCAGCATTTCAGTTTCTGAGGAGTGAAGTATTCCCTTCTGCTTATCCCATTTTAAATTTAGATTTTCAGGTGAAAAAATCACCAATAATATATTTGAATATTTCTTACTGTTGTTGGGATACATTTTCGCGGGTGGGGATTTGAGGAATGAGAGACTTATAGTTTGTTAAAATAATTTTCACTCTGCCGTCTGTCCTTGTCGCACTCTTATTGAAGACTGCCCGCTGGGACGTCGTTCTTCCTCTCTGTCCTCTCTCTGTGTGTGTGTGTGCCCAAAACAAATTGAAAAGCCGCTGCGCTGCTGGCGTCGCTGCTGCTTCGGTAGGAGTGGTGGGTGGGAGAGGTGGAGCGCGTTGGCGGTACATTTTTGTATGCGCTCATCATGGCTGCTCACGCGCTGTCTCTACCGTCGTTGTTGCCTGCTGCTGCAGCTTCCCTTTTGCTTCATCGTCTTTTTTTTGTGCCCTTCTCACTTGTTCTTAACTAGTTTTTATTTCTCTTTTAGTTTCCAATTTATGTAGTTATTAAATTTGCTTGGAGCACTCGAAAATGTTTTACGCGTTAGCGATAAATCTGCTTGCCGCCTTCCCTTTATTGAACATACTGCGATACAACAACCTTTGCTCTTCTCAAAAGCCAAAAAAAGTGCTTTAGTACCCTATACTCTTGGATATTTAATGGGAGAAAATGTATATACATATGTCTTTACATATTTAATAGAATGAGATTCGGTCAGTAGACAAATGAAGGGAGAATTCCGCCCACAAGAGAGTACAAATTTGCTGACAGGAAGTAAGAAAAAGATACTAGATATAGCTAGTATCTACCGATGCTTTAGAAACTAACCCAATCGGCTCATTCAAACATACATATGTATGCGGGTAAAGGGTTCTGGTTGCAGACACAATTTTGTTTTTGCCTCATAACTTTTGACCAAGTGCATATTTTATAAACAGACATATGTGTACCAATTAAAAGTTAGAGGTTTTAGGTAACTGTCAGTGAAAGATATAAATTGATTTATTCTATACAGGCAGGCTCCGGCTTTCACTTACTTTTGCGTTTTACGATTTCAGCCAAAAGTCATATTTTTCATTTCAAGGGGCTTTGACATTCGCGAACGTGTGGTTTATTTCCTCTTGTACTGTTCGCATAAAATGAAAAAAATATGAGAGGGAATAACCACAAATAGAGAAAATGAAATTTTGTACACATTAATAGTATACAGAGTGGTCGAGCTCAGGCATATTCCATACTTCAAGAAGTGTTTCAAATCATATTCCCCATAGTTGGAAGATAGTTATTTCATAGTTAAAAAGTTTGCAAAGAAACATAAGACTGTGTGTAGTTTCCCACATTTTAAGAATATTACTAATATTCATTGATTGCTTGCCGCGACATGTAACAGCGCCCCTCTGCCTGGGATCTGCGCGGCTTGTGCGAAATAAATTAAAAACTCTAAAGATGTAAGTATAGTATTGCGCTTAAAGGGTATCCCATACGTTCTCTACTTGTTGTTTTCGATTGGAAAACTTGTTTCAGCTTGTAACCGATTGCTGGTTGTGTGTTCTGTTCTTTTTCTTGTTCCAGTTGTAGAAGATAGTCGCGTTGTTGCTTTTTGTTGTTCCTCTTTGCATTCGCATATCAATTTCGGCACATGACGTAATCGTTCCCATATTCAAAGGTTTGTTCCAACAGCGACAACAACAAAAGCAACAAGAACAGCCAGAACATTAAGGTTTGAAGTGTATTGCGTCTTAAAAATGTAAAAAGTGATAAGGGCGATAGGTGTCACTGAAAGGGGATGAATGGAGCCTTTCCTCTTTGCGAAGGCAACCGACACGAAGGAAAATACGTTCCTTATTTCTCTGCCGCTGCGGCAATATACGAAAGTATATATAATTTCATCATGGTCCAAACGAAGTTGCTTCTCTTCCGCTGCGCCGGCCGAGCCGAGCAGCACGAATCAGCTCTACATACATACATATGTTTGTATGAAAAGCTTTTGCATAAACGCTAGATCAATCGAGTCGCATGAATGCCAGACTGTTGTCAGATATTAAATTATTGAAATAGGGGCTCAATAATCGAAAAAATACATTGAATGTCGCAGATAATCAAGTAAATGCTGAATACATTCCATAGACTGAATCAATTGCTCCTTTAGAACTATTAGGAATCATCTACATATATTATGGATAATTTGGTTGAAAAAAAAAGTTATCCAAATCTCCAGAAATTCAAATTGAAATTCAACACAAGAAAGTACTTCTTCAATGTTCTGAATATTTATGGACTTGAATCAATCTACTAATGTACGCCGCTGGGGATCGCGGATAAGGCCAAGCATAACATTATAGAGACGTAAAACGGGTTTCCAGTCCATTTTCCAAGACAAGTTTATGTATGTACACATATCTCATGTCCATGGGTTTCATGGATGGTCAATAGCCCCCAGGCCATATCGGGAAAGTGCCCCATAGCTATTGGGCTTTGCGGCTGCAGGTGTTCAATCAATTGAAATTGAATCAGAACCCAAAATTAGCTGAAAGCCCAATTGGCAAATGACTTGATTTAATTGACATTGAGGTTGAGGCGCCGTGACGCACTTGCTCGACTATTTTAAGATCAAAAGCGACGATACGTGATCTCTCCTTTGATCGCTTTCCCCGAATATATAACACTGAAATTGTAATTAGATTCTGGCGTTTTTTTTCTTGCAGATCGGAGCGTTCAATTGTGCGCGTTTCCATATACCAAAGCAGTCAGCCGCAGCAAATCTGTCCACCAGCGGAGTATATCCTGGGGCCCTATTCAGACGGCCTGGATCTAACGATCGGTAGCTATACAATCGACCCAACCACAATGAGCACGACAGCGGCGACGATGCAACAGCATCAACAGATTGGCCTTGGGGCGGCCTATGATCGTCAGCAGAGGTGTGTCAGCATATAGCGCATAAATCGATTTAGAATTTAATGTCTATAATTTGTGAATCGTTTGCAGCACTGATTCTGGCTGGGATAATCCCTTTCGTCCTGGAGGCGATCTGTCGAGAGAGGCTGATGAAATTGTCAACATGATTCGCGGTGAGTCCTGAGCTCTCTCTCTCTCTCTCTTTGCCCAGCTAAGTGTTTAAGATCTACTATAGTGTTTATGCCCTTGTTAATGCAGGTGGGAAGCCTATCACACCCACAGAAGATCGTACAATGGGAAATGGCAGCGCACAGCATGCCGATGACAACTTCAATGGTGGAACAGCAGTCGACGAAAGCGTGACCAGAACCAATGTAAGTCTTGATCGGAGTCCGAGTCTCATGGCAGACAATCTCTTATACTCTCTCTGTTTCTCCCCCTCTCTCTCTCTATCCCCTCTTGATTATACAGCTCTCGCAGAATCAAGCAACAGCACAAAATGGTACAAATTCCCACGCCAGCAAGTCGGCGGCAATGGGCAATGCAACTGCTAGCGGCGGTGGAGGCGTTGGACGTCCCGAGGGCCAGAGCAACAGCAGCACCAACGGCGTCACTGCTCTGGGCCAGGTGTCGAAGCAGGTGGTGCCGGGACCAACGTCGGCTAGTCATGTCGTCATCGATGAGAAGAAGGGCAAGAAGAAGGGCTGCTGTGTTGTCCAATAATCATAGACATAGCTGGCATACGTCATGGGCCGATGGTGGGGTGGTACAGTAGGGAGAGGCGGGTTTATGTTTTGGATGTTAATATTTTTTCGATGTGAGCACGAACCCGAGCCTGAGAGCTGACGTTGATGTTGATATTGATGTTTATATCATGCCGCGTAAATAGTTTTGCTTTGGTTTGCGAATATCAAAACGAAAAAAAAAATAACATAAAACAAAAGGAAAAAAAGAAGAAAAGAAAAAAGAAAAAAAAATCAAAGCTTTCTGAACAGACCAGCAGAATGTGCAATAACGAGAGGATCAGCCGCAACAGAAACAACAAAAGTAAAAAAAAGAAAAGAAAAGGAAGCAGAAGCAGCAACGCTAGAACGAGACAAAAAGAACAGCGCTAAAGCGAAAGGAACAAGAAATGGAATAGCATCAAGAGCAGAAGCAAGAAGAAAATGGACCAGCAACAGTAGCTTCAGAAGCAATAGAATAATAATGAGTGCTTATGCCACCAGCAGTAGCAACAGAAGCAATAGAAGCACCAAAATAACGAGTGGAAAGAAGTAAGAACAACGACCACCAAAAAGCTGCACTCAGAGTCAGCCTTTACCCGTGGGGCACTGACACTTGCAATCGGTGTCGCTTCGACACAATCCATAAGCAATTCCTGTTCTTAAATCCTGTAAGCAGTCGCTGAACGCAGTCCTTAACGCTTGAAGCAATCGCTGTCCTTAGTAAACCTGAAGCAGTCGCTGTCCCCGCCGGACCCCAGAGGGACAGTCGCTTTAATCTCTAATATGAAACAGAGTTACCGTAAATACGAATTGTAGATCTAAAATATATATAATTATACAACCTATATTTATATATATATGTATACTTGTTAGGCCGGAGTCCGTTGCTAATTACTGATTGTAGACAACAATGAGTCAAAATGGACCTACAATTCAATGGAATTATCTATACATCAATTTATCCTTGTTGTGTGACCTTGTGACATATATGTGCATATATGTATATTCAATGAAATATATCTGTATATGTATATTAATATGTATACATACTTGGAATTTTTTGTATAATTGTAAAATCTATTGCGGCTTTTTAAACAGGATGACATTTAAAGAGTAAAAACCGATGGAAGAAGATGAAGAAAAATAACAAAAAAAGAACGTTGTGCTTGCATGCATAGTGGTCAAAACAGAAAAAAACACATAAAAAGCAAGACAAAAAAAATCTAACATAAAGAATAATGTATTTATTTTTATTTATATAATGACGATGATGATGATGTTAAGGAGAGTAAATTAAATGTTATACCTTAAAACAAATATACACACACACACATGCATACACTTATACACAAACAGTTATATACAAAAACATACATACATACATGCAATATTTATATACAAAATGAAATGTATGCTGCATAAAGCAGACGAGAAGTGGAGCCCCCAACAGATGACAAAACAAAAACCAAATTCCAAAACTATACAGTTATTTTTGACCAATTCTATACATATACCATATACATATGCTATGCATGTGCCCCACCCACATACCATACAGAGGTTTGCAAAAGCCTATGCCCCATACTCTAAGGGTGTAGCTTGTGTGGCCAACTGTGGCGGGTCCAGAGCGAGAGAAGCCACAGCTGATCAAATACACAACTAGTGTTAGAAGAGCGGTGCTGTCATCATGAGAGATCGAGATCAATATATAAGAAGAGAGGGAAAGAGCGGAGGTGTGCGGAAATGCGAATGAGGGAGAAAGAAGAGCCACTGATCCCCATCAAGAATGAAAAAGAGCGAAAGCCCATAGAAGAAAGCGAACGGGGGAGCCGGGAAGAGAACCACCGTTGTTCAGCTTAGTTGTAAACACAAACAATACTCAGTCTTCAGATTCCTCTCCGATCCAAAAACTCATGCTTTTGCATCTATGTACATCCTCCCACCCAACCCCCCTTCCACAAACACAGTATTTATTCAAAAGAAAGAAAAATAACAAGCAGGTAACTACAGCAATGCGAGTTACAAGAAAGTCTATACAGGAGCAGCAACCAAATAGTAAATGAAAGTAAAGAGAACACCGATACGGACCGCCACACAACAAATGTACTCTCCCTTACCCACTCAGCCGCATCTACACACCCCTACACACGCACTTACAGCCTAAGCATCAATTTGTTCTGCGTTTGATACAGTAAATGAAAGTTATAAATCATACAATACCAACACTATATTGTACTATATGTATGTGGAAATAGCAATATTGTTTCACCCAAAAAGTAAATAAATGAAAATCTGAGCAGCTAAGAAAGCGAGCTGCAAGAAGAGCCGCCACAGCAGCAAAAATACCAATATTTAATATTGTAAATTTCCGATTCAAAATGAAAGCAAAACGTAAATGAAAACCAACAAAAATGTTAAGTTATTGTATAAAAACAAATCCCAAATAAAAAACGAAATCATGAGAACATGAGAAACTAGAAAAATTCTCATGAAACCGTTAGCTATGTTTGCGGTGCACTTTTTATAATCCATTCCTGGCGATATTATTTTGATAATTTGTGGGACGTTGGGACGTTTTTAAACGTTGATATGCAATGAATGCACCATTAAGTGTCCCATGCGACACCAAGCTGAATCCTGTTACACGCTGATTCCAGGCAGAATCGCAGCTCTCCTCCCGCCCAACTGACCGTGGGGCGCTGCCACAAGACGCACGTCGCGTGTAACCAAACCGATCGCCAACATGCAGGAAAGATAGGTGTGAGGCTAATATTCGAGGAAAATTAGAGCTAAACACTACTAAGAGAGCTAAAAATGCAAAATTGACAAAAATGTTACTAATTACGGAGCAATTAGCAAATAGGTAATCAATATCTTCAATGTTTTTAGGGATAGTTTGGTACATTCATGTCAAAGCACTGACAATTCAAATCAAGCATCTCCAGCCGGTTTTTGTTATCAGGCATAAACCTGTCAGAATTTTTCCATAGAGAGAAATACAATTTCATAAATTATAACTAATAGCTAAGGACTGAAAAAGCGTTGAGTGAGGGGAATACGAATAAATTTGGGGAGTGATTTATCGAGTGAAAGCAACGTGATACCTTATACAAAATGACGAAGGTCCCACGGCGCAGCGTGCGCGGTGCGCTAGGGCCCCAGAGAGCTAGGCGCTCTACCACAATGATGCAAACGATGTATGGGCCCCTTGTCCTTGCCCCAGGAATAGTGGATAAACGGGATCTGCCGATCTATGAGGTGGAGATGATCATAGATCAGCGCAAACGAGACGGTCGCACAGAATTCTTCCTAAAGTGGAAAAACTTCTCAGAGGAGTTCAATTCCTGGGAGCCACGGTGCCATTTGATGTGTCCCCAGCTGGTGTATGAGTACTTCAAGAAGCCACGCCAGATTGCCCGCAGTTTGGTCTACTACTAGACTCCCCAGCTCATATACAATAGGTATGCAGCTTAAAGTGCATAAGTTTTGAAAATAAAATAGTTTGAATTTACAACTCGTCTCAGTAGCATCAACAGAGTACACGATAACAAGTGTCAAGATGAAGCAGACATGATTCCGTATAGTGCTGTCTCTCTGCTGAGGTTGAAACCACTGCCACTGCTTTTCGGTATTGATGTCTCGTCCCGGCCGACTAGGCATTACCTTTCACTTAATCTTTAACTCTGTCTTTCTAACAACTCTAATCAAGATCCTTTCCGTAGCCTTTGCAGTATTTATAATAAATTCTTCCATTTTTTTTCTTTTGACACCTTTGTTACTATCGTTATCATTACTTTAATGAATAATTTCATTTAATTTTCTTTAATATTTTACTTTTGTCTATTTGGTTTTTCTGTGTCCTTAATTTGGCTGTGAGTACAAAGATAATCTTTACATTTAAACTGAACATTGTTGAACTTTAAACACTATAAAAAAACTTGTATACCCGTTTTCAGTCAGTATATAAATATGTGAGCTTATGATTTATGTAGAATTGAAACAATTTTACATTTTTTTGCTACATCTGTTATCTACATCTACAATGCCAATTTGACATCTGAAAACTAGATTATACTCTCCGCCAGATGGCGTACACTTGGAAACAATGTGATATCCCAGATATCTGGATAACAAATTTGGTTGCTCTACCTCTTATGGTCTCTGAGAACTAGGTGAAAAACAAGACGGACAGACGGACAAACTGAAATATTGACTATATTGACCCGGCTCTTGATGCTCAAGAATATATGTATGTACTTTATGCGTTACACATATCCTCTTCGACCACAAATCTAACATATCCCAAAAACTTTTCTAGTGCCGGGTGTTAAAATAAATACAAATTTAAATTACAAGTCGGATTCAGGCATAGGAGGATCAGCCAGCAGTTGTAAATCGCCCTTTACGATGCCCACATTTTGAATAGCAGAAATGGTAATTTTGACCAAATAGACAACTTTCTGGAGGGGTCTCCGTGGGTTCCATCTTCATTGCATCGCCAAGAAAAGAGGGCCTGAAGGAAAAAAAACTTATAGTGACTATACCGCTGAGCTGGTAGCTTTAAACAAATGTTTGTAAATATTATCCAAAATTATTTTCCCCGGCAAAGGGAATCACCAAACACACACCTCACCTAAATCTCTTCCTACACGAAAGTATACAAACGCTACACAATAGTCTGTTCCAGACATTTTCCCCTCAATGTGTTCCCTTATGGGCTTTGAAAGTTTACTTAAACTGTTCCTTTCCGTTTTAGGTGACTGTTCCACTTACTTTGCCCACCCAAAACTACCACAATCTGTTCTGTTCCCATGCAAACATCTTCCCACACAAATACCCCCATCAACTGCACCCAGCTAAAAAGCTTTTTTCTCTTAACCAATGTTCTCTTTTGTGGGCCGTTTAAGAGAGCGGTTAAGAGGAAAGAGGTAAATACTGGGTACAGTTGATAGTGCATTTGTGTGGGAAAAGTTGGAAGAGTTTGTGTTCACTTGGGTGGGAAGAGCTATGTATGGGAACAGGAAAGAACTGTTTTCGTCCATATTTATGGAGGGGCAAATTTCTGTGGAAAAAAGGGAAACAGTTTTCACCTCCTGCTATGCCCCAACGGAAAGAAAGATCCGACCGACGCTTTCGCTAATTAATGGCAGCGGCAGACAAATGGGAATGGCTTTTGTATCTAGCTTGTTTGGAGCCAGGACAAACATATGGCGAGAGGGAGGTGGGTGTTGATTGGGCTGTGGAGGTAGAAGGCAATGCCATTGGCAGGGTAGTTGCCCTGGCACAATGGTCCCAAAGTCCCAAAGATATTTGAAAAAAATGACGAAAGTGGATACCAATAATATTAGTTTTTTGTTTGTTTTGTTTTTTTTGTAGCAGCTTTGCGCTTTTGGCGGCGTCACAAAGTTAACTGATCGATGAAAGCCCACATCCAAGGTGAGAAATGGCGGAAATTTTTAGCCAATATTTGCGTTATTACCATTCAGAAAAGGTTCCATGGAAAATGTATGTATAACCTATATTACAAAGAGTTAGTGTCTATCTGCAGTGCAGAAGGCTCTACGTGTTCCTTCCGCCGGTTGGTTATCCCACTTAACATTCGCTGTGGTCTTCGAGAAATTCGAGCATAAGCCACATGGCTGTTTTCCACCTTACTGTGGCAAATGAGGAAAATTATTTAAAAAACTGTAGACTTATAAAAAGTAAACCATAGAGGGAGGAAAGAATGCTGTTTATAGGGACGCCGCGAAGCAAAGATATTTTTTTTGCTTATATTGAATTTTAAGACGTCGACAATGACGCCAACGGAAGGATTTCTACCTACACTCGGATGTCTGCGCGTGACTTTGTTTAAGCATTACCCATGCCTCTTGCACCATCCCCCGTTATCCGAATCCTGTAACAGGAACTTTTCCTGCCCTGCCACTGGTTTATTTTGCCAACATGTGGCAAAATTATTTCCGTTCAAAAATCCACTTCCTGCAACTTCCTCTATTCATACCACACTTTCTCTGTCCCGTCCCTATCTCTTTATCTTTACCTTTCTCCCTCTATCTCTATATATCGCCCCCTTCGACTGTCTTTTTTTTACCTTTGCTCGAAGAGTTAAGGGGTATACCAAATTTGTGGTCGAAGTGGATTTGTGTAACGCAGAGAAGGAAACGTCTCCAACCCCAAAAAGTATTATGTATATTCTTGATCAGCATTAATAGCCGAGTCGCTATGGCCATGTCTGCCTGTCCGTCCGTCCATCTGTTAAATCCTTTACACTGTTACAAGTGTATTTTAAAATTTCGCCACGCTCCTTTTCCATAAGACGAAAGTCTGTGGCGTCCACAATCTTAAAGATACGAGAAAATGAAAAACGCAGTATCTATCTATCAGATCTTGTTCACCTTTAGCGGTGATCGAGTTAGAACCGCGTGTTGGTGTGAGAAGTGAAGTAGATGGCAGATGTAAATTGTAGGTTCACATACAGTTGTGTTTAATGAAATAGTAGTGCCGCACCTCACTACTTTCAAAACTCTTTTTGAGATATTTCTAGTCCTTAAAATTGAACAAGTGATACCTTTACGGAAAGCCTGGAATGTAAGCATTAGAAAATTGAAGAAACCATAGAAATTGAAGTTACATTTCCATTCCATCTTCTTGT